ATCATAATGCCCTAAAATACATTACTTTTAAACTATTCTCTCCCTCATCGGCTTCAATGCAGTAAATATAATTTATCCAGTTTTTCTTAGTCTTACCCCTACCCTGATGTCAGCCTCATTCTACAACAGTGGCACCATATAGTATTTGTCCTTTTGTGACTGATATATTTCACTCAGCATAATGTCCTCTAGGGTCACCTATTTTGAATAATATTGCATGAGTTCCTTGTTTTTCTACTCCATGCTTTTTGACTGTTTTGTTCCATCTCATTTCCATGTTTCCATTTCACGTATTTATGCCACTTTTCCCCCTCACTCAGCCCATTCTATCCTGTCCTGCTATAGCTATTTCCAAGCCTAGCTAGACCTTTTCCTGTGTGTTCCTCACTCAGCACTGGACATGGAGCTCGATCTGTTTGTTGGCCCCATCCTTCCCCCTCCTCCCTGCTCCTCCTGAACTCTTCTCAAGTTGGGTTCCTACTCCTGGCCATTAGCAGTGCACTCAATGCTCCTGGTCCATCTCTTCCCACCCTTCCCCTTCTTTAGAAGGCCTGTGTGTCCCCTGCTCTTCTCAAGCTCCTGCCTGCCTTGCCCATTCAGCCCTCAAGGAGGCAAGGTCCCCCTTGCTGGGTAAGTGTCCCCTGGCTGCACTCTGCCTCTTCCATCCCAGGCTGTGGAACACACCAGATTTTGTATGTGGCAGCCTTTTTCCTTTCATGCAGTTTGCTTGGCCTTGCTGTAAATGGAGGGCTGTGAGCTGGACATGTGCCCTCTTTCTTCACATTCCAGACACGCATACCCCAGAGCCCAGTGCACCAGGCCTTTCACTGGGTACTTCTTTCATAGAGTTCAGTCCTTCCTGGTCCCATCCTTCAAAGGCTCCTATGTTAAAGGTAGAGTCAAACCCATCCAGAGACACCAAAATGTACAAAGGGGTAAAGGCCATAACTGTGAACAGCAGTCACTTCCCCTGTCAGCCTTCTCATACTCTTTCTGCAGCCTCACCTTCAGGCCCCACCTGTGTCAGGATACTCCTGAGTTCCTTCAATGCCCCAGGCCTTCCAGTCAAAGGCCTCTTTACTTGCCATTCACCTTAAGTGTCACTTCAGTTTAGAAAGCCTTCCTTGAACCCAGTCTAGCTTCTGAACTCTTCCACCTGAGGGTAGAGTGGTGGGGTAGGGGGCGGGGGCAAGTGTGGAGTGGATTCCCAGAAAGTGACAGGAACAGAAGTGACTGTGCTGGCATCAATGACCTCCTCAAGTCTGTGTTGTTGTTTACCATAGAGTCAGAACTCATAGCTGACCTTCCAGGGGGTTTTCAGAGACAGTTAATTGAATGAGAGGATATTGCCCATCCTCCTCCTGCAGAGCAGGTGGTGGTTTTGAACCACGTGCCTTTGGTATTGCAGCACAGCTTCTTGCCACTAGGCCACCAGAGCTCCCTATGCTGCCTCCTAAAACAGGACCTTGTTCATAGGTTATACTTCAAGTCTGCTGAACTGAAGGGTAATCAGCGTTGAACAAGCTCGTTCCGTTTCAGATTTCAGAGTACACATTATGTGTTGAGCTGCAAAGTGAAAGGTGGTCAGAGAAAGAGGAGGCAGTCTGCTCATATTAAGATTTATAACCTCTGAAAACCAGTCAAGGGTCACCAGGAGTCAGAGTCAACTGGACAGTTGTGGGGTGGTGTAGGTTTGTAGGGAGGGCCAATCAAGATGTCTAGGAATGCTTTCTGTTCTGATGTGCACAACTCTCAAGTAGCAAGCAAGAGAGGTGGGTTTCTGCCTGTAGGTAAGATTGAAGTTAGATACCAGGTGAAAGAGAGAGGAAGAAAGGCCAGGTGAAGAAGAGGCATCAGAAGTGGAAGCCCCAGAATGGCCAGGCTAGGGGGGAGAGGTGGCAACAGGGATCCTTTGAGCCAGACCAGGTGTTGTTGTTTTGTACCATTGGGTAGAAGACTCATTTTCAGAGGCAGTTAAGTCACATAGGAGGAGACTGCCCATCTTTCTTCCATGCAGCAGCTGGTGGCTTCAAACTGTGTGGTTGGTAGTGCAACTCTTTACCACTAGACCACAAGAGCTCCTTAGACAGGGAAGGAGGGAAGCAGGAGGGAAGCATTTTCCTGCAGCCCAGGACCAGGGCCTCTGTTAAGGATTTATGCCTAGAAGTCTGCAGAGCATGGCCAAAGCCAGCTGGTTCCCCAGGCCCCTGGACAGGCAGGAACTATTTCCTTGGTAGCCGGAAAATAAAGACAAATGGGCCAAGTGAAGGTGGGGAATTCCTCCTTCCTTTATTTCCTAGGCCGTCCTCTGCCCCCTTGCTCCGGTCCCTTGTTACACACACACTGTATTCAGCCAGTATTTTGAGTGGGGAGCTGTGACATAAGGGGACTCCATCCAAGAGGCTGCCTGTCCTGCTTTCCTCCATGAATGACCCTGGTCAGTGCATTTGGATTCAGTTCAAATTGTACAGGTGTCCTCACACACAGATGAGACCCAGGGTGGGCACTGACCCAAGTTCATCCAGAGGCCGGGGCAGGACCAAGCATCTGCCTTTGTGCTTCTCAATTTCTAGCTCAGGGGCCGTTCCCTCATCTAGCTTCCACACTCCACCCCCATGCTTATGCCTCTCTGCCTGTCAGACTCCAGAGGGCTCCATCTTGCTAATTGTTTCCGTCTTCCAGCCAATCTCCTGTGCTAATCACTGCAGTGTGCTTTGTACCCATCCTCCATCTCTCGGCTGTCTCCAGAACAGATGGAAAATTCCTGGAGGGAAAAGACTATGCTTTTCACTTAGATGAAGGTATCTGAAGAAGAACTTTAGGAGCCACCTCCAGCTCAGGGGCAAGTCTTCCCTGTTAAATAGAAGTCCCCTTTAACTCAAACAATGCTTCCCACTGGATAGGCCAGGCTGCCCAGCTCACAGCCTGTCTCCTCCAGCAGCCAATGATTTCCCTCAGCACAGAAGCCAGGCATCCTCTATCAGACAAAGCAGGTTTTCCTTCTATTCAGAAACTGTATTTCTTCCATCAGACTGCAACCTCCCCCAGCCTGAGACTAAGTCTACCCCATCAGATAGGGGGCTGCCTTGGGTTAAGAAGAGTCTCGAGGTCCTTCAGCTACAGGATCATGGACATACCTCTGCCTTTCCCCCCATGCCCAGCAGATCAGGCTAGATCCTAGTGTCAGACTGGTTCCCCTGGAGTTCAGCAGAAACTCAGAAGCCAGACACACTGAGAGGCCACAGGACCTGTGGCCAGCCCTGCCTCTGCCTTCCCCAGACTTATGTATAAGTTGAAAGCACTGAAGACAATCTGGCCCAGGATGCTTGCTCAAGGATCCAATTTCAGAAGCTGACCCTAGATTCCTTCTAGGCAGAAGCCAAGCCATGATGAATAAGTAGGTACAGTGTGCTGGCACCTTCAGGTAGCTGGGGGTACTGGAAGTCCAAGCCCCTGTGTCTACGCTTAGTGCCATGGAGTCCAGAACCCTCATTCCCCTGGAAAGTCAGAGAACTGGAGGCTAGATTACTTGATGTCCCAAGACATCAAATCTTAGGAAGCTCTTCCCAAGAACTGGACCTAATCCCTTTCTGTATAAACACACTCTGTGAGGAGTTGTGCAAACCTGTGGTTATTACTTCCTTAAACTACTTTCATGTATGCTCACTCCCTCTCTCTCATACTGCGCTGAACTTGGAGTTGACTCCTAGCTGATCCTACATTGGGAATTCTGAGGCTGAAAACCCACAAAAGGAGATTTTCCATCTCTCTCCCTTGGAGCTACTGGCAGACTCAAACCACCAGAAAGACATGCCTTCGAGTTAGCAGCACGATTCCCTATGGACTTCAGCACTAGTTTCCTTCTTAAATTAGGCAGGTGGCTCAATTTACAGTCCAAGAACATGGCGGGGGTGGGGGGAGTAACAATTGCAGGTTCAACAAACTCAACTCATTGCTGTCATGTTGGTTTCTGACTCCTAACGACTTTCCAATGGGCTTCTGAGGCTGTAAATCACAATGGAAGGAGACTTGCAATATTTCTCCTCAGGAGCTGTTGGTAGATTTGAATCACTAGAAACACAGCCTTGTGGTTAGCACCATCACATCCTACATACGACACCACCGGTGGTTGTTGTCTTGTACCATCCAGTTGGAACTGACTCATAGCTGACCCTCTCATGGGTTTTTAGAGTTGATAAATCCCATGGAAGGAGCCTGGCCCATTTTTCTCCCTTAGAGAAATACCCCTTAGCTGGTGGATTTGAGCTGCGTGCCTTTAGGTTGGCAGCATAGCTCCTTGTCACTAGGCTCCTTCTAATAGTAACTTCCACTCAATTCAACTCACTGTTGAGTCAGAATCAACTCAGAGCTGAGCCTCCACCAGATTTTCAGAGGCTGTAAATTGTACAGGAGGAGACTCCATCTTCCTCCCAAGGAGCTGCTGGTGGATTCAAACCAACAGCAAACTGCTTCTTTTGGGATAGCATCGCTAACCCTCTTTACAGACACCATCAGAGCTGCTGTTGCTGTGTCCAAGTCAGGACCGACTCACAGCTGACCCCCCTGGTGGCTTTTCAGAGGCAGTTAATTGCACAGGAGGAGAAGGCCCATCCTTTTTCCACAGAGCAGATGGTGGATTCGAATTCCATGCCCTTGGGATTACAGTGCAACTTCTTACCACTAGGCCACCAGAGCTCCCGAAGAGTGGCTTAGGAGTGATAACTTTCCAAGCATGTTGTCCCTCTCCAAGGAATAGCCTCTTCTAGCAACATACCCAGAGTATGAAAGATGAAACTTTACCATCCTTGACTCCAAGGAGAATGCTGGCTTCACTTTGTCCAAGATGTATCTGTTTGTTCTTTTGGCAGTGCATGGGGTATCCAGTACTCTTCTCCAACACCAAAGTTCAAAGACATCAATTCTTCTCTTGTCATTCTTATTCATTGTCCAATTGTCTGAATTAGACACATCTTGATCCTCAACCTAATATCATTGCTCCTCAGTAATTTGGAGAAGTCCCTGACTGCAGACTTTGCTGGTACAATACGTCTCGTGACTCCTGGTACCAAATGTATTGACTGTGTATCCAAGCAAGATGAAGTTTTTGACAGTTTTAATTTTTTCTCCATCTATCATGATGTTGTCTGTTGGCCTAATGGTGAACATTTTTGTTTGATCTTCTGCAGCAAATGTTTCAAGTCCTCCTGACTTTCAGCAAGCAAGGATATGTCATCTGCATGCCAATGGTTATTGATGAGTCTTTCTCTAATCCTGATGCCACATTCCTCTTCACAGAGTCCAGCTTCTAGAATAATTTGCTCAGCATACTGATGGAATAGGTATGGAAAAAAGATTCAAACCTGATGCATGCCTTTCTTTATTTTAAACCATGTAGTGTTCCTCTGCACTGTCTACACAACAGCTTCTTTGTCTAGGTATAGGTTTCACATGAGCACAATCAAGTGTTCTGGGGATTCCCATTCTTCTCAATGTTAGCCATAATTTGTTATGATCCATATAGTCAAATGCATAGTAAATAAAGCACAAATAGACATTCTTCTGATATTTGTTTTAAACTAGGAGTCAAATGATATCAGAAATGATATACCTGGTGCAACAGACTCTTCTAAATCCATCTTGAACTTCTGCAATTCCCTATCTACATATTGTTCTGTGTATTTTTCAATGATATTCAGCAGTATTTTGCCTGCATGTGATATTAATTATACTGTTCTAGAATTTCTACATTCCATTGGATCACCTTTCTTGGGAATGGGAAAAAATTTGAATCTTTTCCAGTCAGTCAGTCAGTCAGTCAGCCAACTGCCCTACAAACTTCCTGGCATAGACTAGGGAATCTTGGAATAGACTGGCAAAATTTTGCATGATCCAGCAGCATCAAAAGAAAATGGAGAGAATACACAGAATCACAGTACCAAAAAGAACTGGCTGACACAGAACTATTTCAGGAAGTACCATATGACCATTGAAGAGGCAAGAGGAAGGAAGAAGTGCAAGCTGCAATAAAGACATTACTGAAAAATAAGGCCCCTGGAATCAATATATTTGGAAAAGGAATAAAAAAGACAGGAAGAGGATAGAACTTGTTAGGGCTCAAACGCTGCGATAGCTCAGTCTTTGAACAGCCGGGCATGGAGCTCACTTACTTTTGATGAACTGTATCACAGTCAGGTCTGGTGCAAACTGAGGTAGGCCATTCTGATTCTCTGTGCATTCTCCATGGCTCTGCTCAGAGGAGGAGTTCTCACCCTGAAGAGACATAACCACAGACAGTCATCTGGATGCAGAGAGTCTGCTTAGAGATAGCTATAGGTTAGGGTAGAGGGCTCTGGGAAGGGAGAGGTTGGGGGTTCTGTCTCCTTTTGGGAGCAGTGGGCATCAATAGTATCTGTTTGTTCTTGGCACTACAGACACTTGCCAGCGTTGGGGTTGTTTTGTGTTTTGTTTGGGTTTTTTAAAGAATTAATAAAATTATAGTGGTTAAATTTTGTTTCCATCATTACTAGCACCCACACAGACAATTGTTATCACCATCATGAACTTCATAATAATAATCACTATGAAAATGACCACCGTGATCACTAACATCATTATCATTATTTCCATGATTTCTATGTATCCCATCACCATCATCATCCAGTTACCACCATTGGTCCAGTTGCCAGGATGGTCATTACCATTATCATCATCTCTGTTGTGGCTATTGCCACCAGCATTATCACAACACTGCTTTCATTGTCCCATCAACCTTCAGAAGCACCAGTCTCAGAGTTATCAGCATCACCAGTGTCACTGTCTCTAACATCATCATCCCTACTGTTGACTCCGTCAAACACTACTGTCACCACTGTCATCTCTATTACTACCAACATCACAAAAACCCACCAACACTGACTTACCAGTCCCATCAGCCATCACCACCACTGTCACCAACATTGATTCCATTTCAATATCATCATCAATGTCACTGTTACCATTGCTATAAATAGCACCTCTTCCATTACCATTGTCTGTTATGTGCTGTTGTTATGTACAGTCCAGTTGGAACCAACTCATAGCTGACCCTCCATTGGTTTTGCATGGAAGATTGCTCATTTTTGTCCCTCAGAGCAGCTGATGGATTGATTCGAACTGCATGTGTTTGATAGGGGTCAGAGAGAACAAAAGGAAGATGGCAATGATGGATTGAGGAAAGATCAGAAAATGGAGAGAGACCATGAGGAAAATCACTCATAGCCTGCCTGCTAACATCAGATCTAAACCAACTGAGAATATATGGACTAATGACCTTGCTCAAAAAGCCTACCATTGCAGAGGGCATGGATATTCGAGCAGAACAAAGAAGTACCAAAACATATTTGGAAGTCCAAGAAGGGGATGGCATCTACTCTCATTTCATCTTGAGAGGTAGACACACTTTCTTTATCTCCCAAGAGTATTTTTTTCTTTAATAAACTTTTGTCTGCTTTGACAACTTCAGTTTTTTCACTTTGTGTTCTTACTCTGTTCTTGTACTGCATGGCTTCAGTAGAGACCTTGCTATATTGACCTTGGCCCATGAACCAGGTCCAGGAACCTTATCATGACCCCAACAGATTAGTAGTGCGATTCTCTACGTCTAAGCCACCAGCACTCTCTTAGTTATCTAGTGCTGCTATAATAGAGATACCACAAGTGGCAAACTTTTAAAAAAAAAGCAGAAAAATGTATTATCTTAGAGTTTAGTAAGCTAGAAGTGCAAATCGACAGCAGCAGTCAGAAAATAAAAGGACAAATTGCATTGGGTAAGTATGCTGTCAGAGACTTCTCCAAAGTGCTAAATTAGAGCAATGATGTCAGAGACTAAAATGTGTCTAATCCAGGCCATCATCTTCACAATTACTTGCTATGCATCAGAGAGCTAGACAATGACTAAGGAGGACAGAAGAAGAATCTATGCCTTTGAGTTGTGGTGCTAGAGAAGAGTATTGAACATACTAAGGACCACTAAGAGAATAAACAGATCTATCTTGGTGAGGGTGAAATCAAGTTTCCCCTTGGAGGCAAGGATTTTGAAGCTCTGTTTCATATACTTTGGGCATGTTTCCAGGAAGAACCAGTCCTTGGAGAAGGACAGCATGCTCAGAATGGTGGAGGGACTGCACCAGAGAGGAAGACCCCAGATGAGATGGATTGACACAGTAACTGGGAGAATGGGAGTAGGTGTGTCAGAGTCAGTGAGACTGGCTCAGGACAGGGCAAGGTTCAGAGCTGCTGTACATAGGGTCACTATGAGTCACAGTCGACTCAATGGCACACAACAGCAACATACATGCATTTTGGGATGACGTCATACATTCTATGACAGCAGAAGGTTAAGCATTAGGCTACTAACCCTCACCACCATCCTATCATCACCATTAACATCACCAACATGGTTATTACTACCTTAATCTTCAGTTATTATATCATCTATAGCTGTTAGAGCCTTGAGAGTCGAGATGACCAGGAGCCTCCAGTAATAGAGGTTGATAAGAAGATGAGTGGTTTGGATGTATAAGCTCTTCTGTTCTATCTTGTCTGCTATGACAGGTGGGGAACTGGGCTGAGGGAGGAAAGAAATCATATTCAACTCTTCTCCTTGGATGACTGATGCCACACTCAGTTCAAGTACTCAGCTCTGGAACCTACACTGTGAGTAAGTCACAAACCACCTGGAGGGAAGGTATCACTCCACCTGGCTGGGATATCCCACCTGTATCCTAGGCAAGAAAATGCCTAGGGGGACAGAGTTACAACCTTCTGATAGTCAGAGAGGATGAAGGAAATGATGATAAATAACAGTAATTACTAAGGGACCTCTGGTGGCCTAGTGGCAAGAACTTGTGCTGCAATCCTGAAGGCACATGTTTCAAGGCCACTGGCTGCTCCATGGAAGAAGGATGAGCATTCTCTTCCTGTGTGATTAAACTGTCTCTGAAAACCCACTGGAGGATCAGCTATGGTCAGTTCTGACTCTACGGTACACAACAACAATATTAAGTACACATTCTCTGCTGGGCACAGCTATAAGAATGTCAATTAATTATTGTTGTTAGGTGCTGTTGAGTCATATCACTCATAACAACCCTATGAACAAGAGATATGAACCCTGTCTTACTCTGTGCCATCCTCATAATTTCTGCCATACTTGAGGCCATAGCTGCAGTAACTACCACTAACATCTTGGCCACTGTCATTGTCTCTGTCACCACCACTGACGTCATCAACATGGTTGGTATTCATCCATCTCGTTGAGGGTTGTCTTCTTTTTAGCTGACTCTCCACCATTCCAAACTACTCCTAACAACATGCCAAAAGTATGTGAGATGATGCTTTTCCATCTTTGCCTCCAAGAAATACTTTGGCTGTACTTTCTCTAAGACAAAATGATTTGTTTGTTTGGCAGTCCATGAGATATTTAGTACTCTTCTCCAACACCACAGCTCAAAGGCATCAATTAGTCTTCTGTCATCCTTATTAATTTTTCGGCTCTCAGATGCATAGCAAGTGGATGAAAGGACCATGGCCTGAAACAGGGGTGTCTTAGTCTTCAAACTGACATCATTGATTCCCAATAATTTGGAGAAGTCCTGAAAGCAGACTTGCCCAATGCAATATATATCCTCATCTCCTGACTGCTGATAAAAAGGGTGATGACTGTGGATCCAAATAATATGAAATTGTTGACAGTTTCAATCTTTTCTCCATCTATCATGATGTTGTTTATTGGTCCAGTGGTGAGAATCCTTGTTTTCATGATGTTGAGATGTAATCTGTATTGAAGGCTGGAGTCCTTGCTCTTCTGCAGCAAGGACTTCAAGTGCTCTCACTTTCAGCGGGCAAAGTGGTGTCATCTGCATAACACAGGTTGTTGAGGAGTCTTACTCAGATCGTGATGCCACAGTTCTTTACAGACTCAAGCTCCTCAAATGGTTAGCTCACCTCACAAGTATCTTCTGAAGTAGGTGGTATAGAGTATCTGTTTTTCAGATGATAAAAGGGGAATGAAGTAACTTGCTCAGGGGAGAAAGCTAGTAAGTGGCCTAGATATAATATAAGCACAGATAGTTTGGCCTCAGAGATTATAGATAAAGGAAGGATGAAACCCAAGTATTCTATCAGCATTGCCCCTAACACAAAAACATGTTGAGGCAGATAATGAGATGTGCACAATTTTTAGATAAGAACTTTTTAATAAGTTATTTGTTTGCATGGGGTCATTTGTATAAGTAATCAAGTTGTATCTGATTTGATTGCATTTTTGTATGTAGGCCAAGAAAAGAATTAGGGGCAACAAGCTTCAGGGAGAAAGAGTTAAGCTCTTGGTAAAGGGTATGGAAGAGACTGAAGTGGGAGGGAGTTCTCCATAACTAAGAGCATGCAGCAGCCCTAGTAACTCAGCGGTTAAGCACTAAGTTACAAACCAAAAGGTCAGCAGTCGGACCCTTCCTCACTCCAGGCTGGCCTTACACAGAAAGAGAAGTCGTTTA